ACCGTCTGTCCCACTGCCAAGGTCATTAATAAGGATGCTAAACAGTAGTGGTACCAATATCAATCACTGACAGATGCCACTAGTAATTTACTGTGAGCTAAGGTTAGTATACTGCTCACAACACACTGATCCCGCATGGACTTTGGTCCTGCTGTTTTCCCAACGGAGACTGTGTCCAAGGCCTTGCTCACTTTGAGCTATGCAGCATCCAGTGTTCCCCTGTTGCACACGGCTGTGGCTACGTACGAGTGATATGCCTTTTGCAAATCCAGTGACCTTCTTCTCCGTCATGTACTTTGAAATGCCTTCAAGGAGGATTCATAACCTTCATAACCTTCCCAGGAAACTGGACATAGTACAACAAATTCTACCTTTTATATAAAATCAGGCATGTAGCTCATGCTTTAAAGTGGGAAAAGGGAACACATGAGCATGTTTCTAAGACAGCAGCTGCAGTTTTTCAACCCTTCAAAGAGTCAGGAACATACTGTTGTACATGTACAATTTTTCAACAGAATATACTATTGATTTTACACATTTTCTTCCAAACATACCTTTGTCCAATGCGGTAAGAAATTAATGTTGCATAGACTACAGATAATAACTTGCTACAAAAACTTCTAAAAACTTCTAAAAACTACCTGCTAGTGGTCAGTCTCTTGGGCTTCACAACCAGGTGAAGCAAATATAGATAAAACTGTCTCCTGCACGTGGCAGGAGCAACAGCTAGACTGGCTTTTCAGGACTGTGGCTTTGGTGAAGAAACCAGCAGCGGTCATGGTTCATTGAGCTGCAGGAACATCAAATCTCAACAGTACAGGAGACCTCAAGGCCAAACCACTAAATAAGTTCACACAAAGGGCTGGTGTATATTAAAAGCATATGTGAGGAGGCCAGCACAATCTAAGTGCTGTCTGCAGTTATCCTGCTTCCTATTAGCAGAAGCTGTTTTTCATACCTTGGAAGTCACCAGGAGCTTCACCGCTGGCGTATGCATCAGTAAAGTCAATGCTTATTCCTGTCTCTTTGCTATTTCTTTATTGTCAGCATGGCAGCATATACTTTTCAGATATGAAGTATCCAAAGATAAGATTTTGGGCTGGGCTTTGTCAGCCTGAAGAAGAGAAGGCTGAGAGGGGACCTAATAAATGCTTGTAAATATCTCAAGGGTGGGTGTCAGGAGGATGGGGCCAAACACTTTTCAGTGGTGCCCAGCGACAGGACGAGGGGCAATGGGCACAAACTGAAGTACAGGAAGTTCCGTCTGAACATGAGGAAGAACTTCTTCCCTCTGAGGGTTACGGAGCACTGGAACAGGCTGCCCAGGGAGGTTGTGGAGTCTCCTTCTCTGGAGATATTCAAGACCCGCCTGGACAAGGTCCTGTGCAGCCTGCTGTAGGTGACCCTGCTTCGGCAGGAGGGGTGGACTAGATGACCCACAGAGGTCCCTTCCAACCCCTACCATTCTGTGATTCTGTGAAGATTTTGCAACTGGGGACATACAACTCTTTATCGGTGCAGTTATACGGCAAGGAGACATTTCTGTTCCTTCAATATGTGTTACAGTAAAAGAGTCAGCACTGTAGTCTCAATGCCAGATTCTGAGCTGCTGTTGACACGTAATGCTGTGCGGGTTTGAGCACACGACAGCGGTGTGCATACCCTGAAAATTTCACTGTGCTTAATTCTAATGCTATTCTTTAACCGAATTCCTTCTAATTGGTCTGAACCTCTTGATTCCCATTCATCCACTAGATGGCAAGATGAGTCTGCTCTACCAACAAGTGACAGCAAATCTGCTCTATGGAGTCACTTGGGGTACTAAAACCAGGGGAGCACAGAGCAGAAACTAAAGGGCATTAAATCTCTACATGGAAGTTCTAATTCAGCGACAAAATTACCTTTATTCTGTGTAGTTTAAGCTTTAAGCATCCAAACGGATTATTCTATGAGCTTTCTATGTTAAAAGAAGAGATTTTTTGCACTGGGCAGACTGTCCTTCTGTTATTCCACTAAAGCAGACTGCTTAGGGTAAAATTTGCCAATTTTCTTTAAAAAAATATTGTTGAAAATTTAGATTCTTTGTAAGTAGCACAATAACAGAATGGTTGAGATTGGAAAGCACCTCTAGAGGTTATCTGGTCCAACCCAGCTGCTGAAGCAGGGTCACCTAGAGCTGGTTGCCCAGAATCACGTCCAGGCGGCTTTTGAATATCATCAAGGATGGAGACTCCACAACTTCCCTGGGCAGCCTGTGCCAGTGCTCACCCTAACCACAAAATGTGTTTCCTCATGGTCAAAGGGCACCTCCCATGTTTCAGTTTGTGCCTGTTGCCTCTGGTCCTGTCACTGGGCACAATGACAGAGCCCTGGAACAGGCTGCCCAGGGAGACTGTAGATTCTCCTTCTCTGGAGATATTCAAGCCCTGCCCGGACAAGGTCCTGTGCAGCCTGCTGTAGGTGACCCTGCTTTGGCAGGGGGGTTGGACTAGATGACCCACAGAGGTCCCTTCCAACCCCTACCATTCTGTGATTCTGTGATTCTTTGCACTCCCCCTTCAGATGGGAGCCTTCTCTTCTCCAGGCTGAAGAGTCACAGCTGTCTCAGCTTTTCTTCATAGGAGAGATGCTCCAGTCCCTTCACTGATTTCATGGCCCTTTGTTGGACTTTCTCCAGTATGTCCATGTCTCTCTTCTACTGAGGAGCCCAGAACAGGACACAGGACTCCAGGTGTGGCTGCACCAGTGCTGATGTTGTAGTAATGTTGTAAAAGTGTTCCATAGTTCTTTTCATGCTTTCTCTTTAAGGCTACAAATGTGATAACATCTAGGGAATGACATTAATTGTAATGCATATCAGATTTCTGTATTAATCACCAAGGAGTACAAAAAAAAGGGACAACTGTGGCATTTTTTGGTCATTATTACAGTCACTTACTCACCCCCTAGTTCTGTAAAAGTTCTTTGCCACTCTCAGAAATTACCCTTTTTCTTTCTGTCAAGGCCATTCTGTTCAGTGCTGGTAAACTGCAAAAAGAGTTGTCAGGTTTCTCTTGTGATTGTTTTCCTCTTTTGTTTCTTGGTTGGCCACAAGGCTTGATACAAAAGGAGTGTCATCACAGGAGCCATTTAATGGGCTTGTTTTTCACCATCCTAACTACATGCCTGGGTAACAGAAGTCAGTAAGATATCAGTACATTTCAGAATAATTTGTTTCCTTACTGATCCTGTGCACTTCCTCATTGTACCTTCTCCTCCCTTTCCAGCTTCAAAATTCATCCTAGACCTTTTGTTTCCAAGATACTCAGTTAGCATCCTTTTTTCCTCATTAAGTGCCCTGGACTCAAACTCTATTAAAAATTGATCTTGTAATAATCTTGTGAATACTCTGTCTTGCTCAGAAGCTGCTCTGAAAAATCTTCACTGTGAATAGTAACAGGCTTTCCTGCCTTTACACATACCCTAGTATTAGTATTCTTTCAGTGGGAATAAATAGTACTGTAGGAGTAAACTAACTCTCTCTTACATTGGCATGAATCTGTTTTGTGGAGCATCCATAGAGACAGTGAAATTTATCTAGAGGGATATTTGGGAACAAGACCCAACACTGCACACAATCTAGTGAGGCAATAACGAGATGCAACATTAGACGTTTTATAGCGAGCAATGAGTGAATGACACTTGAAAATATAACTCGTCAGTGACAAGCTGTTTAGTTTGCCATAGATTTTTAATTTAATGTTGAAAAAAACCCTGTACATAAACTGCATACACATTTTTCTTACTCCAAATAGCCATCCAGAAGTCTGAAGATCCACATTCAATAAAAGCTTACAGTGCAAGTAAAGGACTTGCGTGTTTTCTAAGCCTGGACTTGTAATATTAGATAGTCTGCATCTAATTTTCACTTTCTAAGTCCATCTCTGTAGCAAGCTTGAAGCTCAAACCCAAGCCTTCTCCAACAGCAAGAAAATTCCAGGTTTTGAGAAGCTAAAAAGATTAAAGTTCGCAAAGGTATCTGTACTAGAACATATTTTGTTCATACACCCCTATACTAGGAGGACATTTGGCTGTGACCATTGCATCTGAAAGTATTCCCTATAAGAAGAAAGTACAACTAGGCACAAAGTCAAAGCAGGGGAAATAAAAAAAGGTGGATATTATCTGTTATACAAACGCACTAAGTCTTGGTTTTCAGTAGCGTAAAGGAATGCTATCAGTGTAGAAAGAATCCCCAAATCTTAAAATTTGAGAAGTTATTTTTATCTGGAGATAATAACAATAGCAACAGACTGGTCTGTTGCACTTGAAAGATTTAAATTTTCCCTTTGTGTGACATTCATTTTTATATATATAAAAATATTAAAAATGCATATAAATATATATTGGTGTGTATTTATTTCCCTTAATACTGCATTTTTTTTAAATGCTGTATTCACATCAGTCTCAAAAGAGCCTTTGCTGAGGCATCCTTACTAAGGAAGAATAAAATTTCATGGTATGAGTATTACTGTTGAATAAAAAAAGAATAAGTAGTGGAAAACATCAACAGAAGCACAACAGTATACTTTCTAGTTGAATAATACACATTATGCTTTCTAGGTGAATAATACAGAAGGCATTTATGTTTGATCGACTGCATTAGAAAGGTAAAGCAAACCCGAGAACATTCAGCTGTTCAGAATCAAAACTTTCAGTTATATGTACAAGTATGTAAAGAAAGAGTATAGGTACATTTTGTGTCCTGTGACATGCAGAATTCCGTACACAACCTAGAATGATTGCTTCACAGAACTCCCACACCCATAAAAACTCCCCTCCGTTCCCCAGACCTCCTCCACCAGTTTACCTTCTCGTTACTCAGTTGAAGGACTGGAAAAATTTCAGAAATACAGCCAAACTTCCAGACTGTAAAATCGTGTACCTACTGAAAGGAAAAGGAGCCGCAGGCGTGTGGTTCATCCTGATGGTGTACCTGTGTTTTTTCTTAGACTTGCTGCTCACCCGGCATGAGCTGAGTATGAGGACTGGAGTGTCAGTGGCATGTGGTACCTCACTTGCTTCCAGAACTTGGAATTGGATGACTGTGGGTGCACAGTGTGCTGCTCTTTCCATTTGATGGTACCTTGCTGCTTAATAATAAACCTAAGAGATTCCTGAAGCTTCTCATAACTCCCAATCATCTCCATTTCCAGCAGGATCACCTTTGTATCGTTTTGAATAAGGGCATTGTATAAAGCAATGTGTTGATCATACGCAGGTTCTTTACAGTTAATCAGCTGGTGTGTTAGAAGGATGATCAGCCGTCTGCTCTTCTGCATCCTCTGCTCAATTGCACTGGCTGTATCTAGGAACATACAGGAAAATGATGAGACCCTGATATTTCTTTTACAAACTCTTTTGTTTTTAGGCACTTCACTTTCGTTGCTTTTTAACCAGAAATAACTTCTGTCTCACTTCAGTCTGGCACAGTTTATTCAGAAGAAAAAGAGCTTAAAAAAAAAAAAAAAAAAACCCAAACAAAACAAAACAAACACCAAAACTCCAAAGCTTTCCTGTCAAATGTTTTCTTTAGTTGAAAAATCAATATTTTCACTGCTCTTAAGAATTGTTAGGATTTTCTAATCCAGCCACCTAGGGTCAAATTCAGTAGTTCTGGATTGCATCAAATTTCTGCTTGATCATTAGTCTCCATGTAAGAAATCATGTTCTATCTAGTTTAGTGCTTTACAGTCTGATCCTGCAATATTTACCCGTGAAAACTTCTCATTTGGAGACTTCTGGGTGACTTAGTTCTAAGAGGTTTACTTACCAGCAGAGGGAGTGTTAATTCTCCTGAGCAATAGCATGCTAATTTATACACTAACCTGTGCATTGGGTCGGCATCTGCCCTGCGGGAGCGGATCCAGACTTGCAGGGCACTTGTAAATCATCACAACTAAAGGTGTTTTTCTTTCCCACTGCCACGTTAGGGAGAGCTGATGAACCTCAACTGAGACCAGGATGTTGGAGTTGTGGAATCTAGCAAACTCAAGAGCCAGCATGCTATGGGAGAAGCTTCTGGGCCAGCTTGGGACGGTCCACATCAAGCCTCCAGGAGCTGCTTTTCTCAGTGACCTGCTGTGAGGTCTGTGGGAGGAAGGCTGCAGATGAATTCCTGTGCAGTGAAATGCTCATCCCAGTTAGAAGAGTTTCCTGTCGTCTGTAGAATCAAAGCTGGAGTTGTTTTGGTGGGAGCATGTGATGCTGGGCCAAAAGAGAGAAGGTGGGAGCCAAACTAAGGAAATTCAATGCAACAATTATCTAAGCCACTGATTTGCAGATGTCATCAGCCAGCTGCATATGCATCCTTTTTTCCTTCGCTGGGGGCTGCCAGCCCATTGCAAGGATCTTCTCAGTCTCAGAGAGGCCCAGCTTTTTCAGCTCCTGGGTCAGGAAGAGAACCCTTTTGATGACTTCTCTGTCCTATTTCTTGGCTCTGAGGGTATTCTGTGAAAACAATTGGCCTTTCTGTGAAGTTCACGAATTCAAACTCCTTTAATTTCCTTCTTCTTTTTCATTAAATTTTCCTGATGTTGGGAGAATAGATCCTTTGGAAGGTGAGAAAAACTAAGGTAAGCAGCTACTGTCCTATGCTTAGTTCCCATAATAACAACACTTTTAAAAAAAGACCTTTCTCAGTTTTGAGGTACCGTCCGTTGTGCTCAGGACTGAAAGACCTTGGGAGGTATTCACTTCTCCACTTGGATTTCTGATGTCATACTTGTGGCAAGAGGAAAGATGGGGCTGCATGCTGCAAATACTTTAACCACAGGATTCAGTGCACCCTGTTTTGTGAATGTTAGAAGTTTATATGGGCTGAGAAAGTGACAGAAAATATTGTGAAAGAAAAATCCATCAGCAACTATTAGACACAAAATTCAAGCATCTGCAGTCCGTATGATGCTGGGAGAAGACATTAGTGGAATTAGAATATAAGCTCGCCCTGTTCTTAAAGACTTTTCCAGTCCTTTGCCCATAGCCACTGCTGAAGGTAGAACACTTGGCTGCACAGAACATTGCTCCAGTGAAATACGATCAGTCCTCTGTTATTTGCTCATGTTTTTGTGTGTTACAGATACAGCAGCGCCAGCAGTATTTGACTAGATCCTGCAGCAAGGAATGCAGTTGGCAGGACGATGAGACCATGAGAAGAACGGAGTAGAAGGTGATGTTGGTGAAAAATCTTGGTTTGCTGGGTAATACTTGCATTTGTACCGTTTCAGGCAACTGTTAGGTTGTAGAAAATGCCATTAATTGATAAGACCAGGAAACAAAAAGAATGCTAGTTTAGCGAAGCATAATGGGAGTCCAACAGCTAGGCAGTGCTGTTTATCACTTGAATCATTCTGTTTAACTTTCCTTTCTACTGGAAGAGCACAAGTTTCAAGTAACAAAGCTTTCCCCTGGAACTAAGAGTCATGAGCATGTCTTGAAATAACAATGCCATTTGATGTCCTCACTGCATTTTTTTTTCCTGGAAATATATGGAGTTTTACAGTGAAAAAAATGATTCATCAAATGCTATAATATGTGTTCAAGAAGGATCAGAATAACCCGAAGCAGCATTTCCTGTTTTACTCTGTTTACCGTATTTTAATTGTAAGGTTTTGGAAACCTGGTAACAAAAAGCTCAAGATCAGAAAATAAACAAGAGTGGGAAGCGTATGGGTAAAGTCCATCTGCTTGGAAGCAGAGAACTTTCAAGTATTCCCAGTGGCAGGCAGATTCGGAATAGCTTTTCCACCCAAGTGAAAGCATTTTGGGACGTGAAAACAGACAACGAAGAGAAAAGCTGAAGGCTGGGAAAATAGGCAGAAAGAGAAAAAGAAGGACGGTGGTCAACTGTTGGGACATTTTCAGAGTTTTGATTAAATCAGATTGAAGAAGTCAAACAAAAGTTACTCGATGTCCAAAGCTGGCTTGGTGAGTCTTGTGTTTGTTACTCCTGGGTTACAGGCATCCATTCATGCCTTCATACAGTAAAAACGTCTTTGCTTTCATCCAATTTGTTAGAGCCCTTGTTAATCCCATAGTCAGTTCCGTGCCATGCTCAGTTTTCTTCAGGATTGTCATCTATAAACCGCAGTTTGAGAGTAGTGTCCCGAAAGAAAATATTGGGCAGTTCCTAATCAGCTTAAGAGGTGGCATAAGTTTTTGTCATTGACAGTTTTGTGAGCTACTGTTAGTTCCTTGTTCTGGATCTGGGAATGGTCTGGCTCAGCAACTCTTGCAGCTTTTTTTACATGCTTGTTGCAGTGGCTATTCTGAAGGCCAGGCAGCACTTTTGCTACTCTCCAGAAGAGAAGGGCGTTGAAGACCTCAGCCCTGGCTCTGGGCAAATGGATGACACTTGCCCAATGCAGATGATTTCAGAAATGTGCAACAGAAAATGTGCCACCTCTGGCTTCATGCCTGCTTACTGACAGGGACAGAAGATCTGGTCCACAGCATAAGCAGAACACAAGATAAACAGACAAGTCAGGTCTGGAGGAAAGCACATAGCACCTAGATGGCAACAATCATAAAAGATAGTGTAGAGGTGTCCATATGGAAATTAGGACAGATTAATTAACGTGATTCCATTCTGGAAGGCAAGGAATAATAAAGAATACCAGCTCTCTCCTGAATTAGCACTGGGAATTGTGTGAAGTGAAAGTAGGTCACATCAGTGAACAGAAGCTGAACTGACTCTAACACCCTTGCAAGAGGTTGAAAAAGCCTGAGTGATAAAAGCAAGGTTAATTCCTCAACTTTGTGGTTTTCTCCTCTTCTGTGTTTTGCAGACCTACTCACACGCAGTCTGGTTGTGGCTTTGCCCAGATAATGGCTGTGCAGAGTTATGCTACCCAAAGACAAGATGTATGTTTAAAAGAGTCACACTTGGGTCACATTTCCTGCATGACCCAAGAAGACGATAAACAATCTGCGCCCTTGCCCTGCAGCTTGCTTTTCTCACACGCTGACAAGCACAGGGGGACTTTGTGCCACCCTGCCTGAGACAGCAGACACACAGTTGCTGAGGAGACGAGCAGCAAGCTCGGGAACATGAAGGGACCTCCTATACCCCTAAAAGGGACTAGAACCACAATTTGCTCAAGCTTGACAAGTCATTCAGTGCATTATCTGATCTGAAACTTACCTTCTCCAGGATATATATCTCTCCCATAAATACACAGGTTATATCCACATTTAATTTCTAGAATATCTGGCATGATTTGGTAAACAAAATACTCCACAAAATTAGCTTCGTTGGTGTGGCTTCTGGGGTATATAACATATGCATCATATATCTTCCCATCTGTAAGGCAAAACAAGAGGAAAATGTATTGTGTTAACATGAACTAGAGCTGTCTATTGCAAAAGCTAAAAGAGAAGTATAAACATCAGTCTTCGAAATAGATCTAAGTAGAAGTTCCTGCTAATCTGAATAATGTAGATCATCAGATGCATGCCTGGAAATTAGAGACTGCGCACGTTTGTTGCTTTCCATGCTCATTTGCTATGTCCTGCGTGTTTGTAACTTTGGAGGACCTGACCTTGGTGTTGTGAAGGCTGTATCCCAAAGTATCCAGAGTAAGAATTCAATTGATTGTTACATGATAGCATGAAATACAGATGAAGCACAGCATTTGTTATTTCAGTAATACAATAAGCTGTTGACAGCCTTTGTCTTTCAGGACGAGACACTTCACTTAAATTCTTCCACCTTGAAGAAGTTTATTCCCCCAAACAATACTAGTACCTTTCTATTTGGCTTATAAAAACTGTAGTGCTCTAACACATGCCTGTCAACACATTAGCCAGCAGGCTGGTTCCTTTGCTTTGGAAAGCATGTAACAAGTACAGTGAGTAGCACTGTAAACTGGATTTTCACTGCCATTGAATGTTCCATGGCAAATATTTTTGTTAAAAAAATTGAAACCAGGCCTGAATCCCTCTTTTATGTAACACATCACTACAGAACCCAGGAAATAAGGGAATGTCCAGCACTAGCAGAGCTATGTATGCCCCCTCTTACCTAAACAATTTCAGAAGGTGTAAGAAAGCAAAGGATCAGGCTCAAGTGTCATATGAGTTAGTAATCAACTATCAAATAAATTCATATCCATATGATTTGCTTTTTTTGCTTTTTTTAGACTTTCTTGCTCAATTCTTACTCACCATCCTTGACTGGGTGGGGCTGAAATATCTCCCGATACAGCAGGACGATATCCACTCGGAAGGACTGATAAAGGATAACAGACACTGCTATTGCAACTAGCAGAACGAGAGATCCTACGATCAAGAGGACGTTGGGAAGACCCACTGCAAAGAAGGTGAACATATTGTTAGCCGTAGAGAAGTTAACCCATGGGCTGAAGCCTCAGCCTCTCATATCCTTACTTCTGTTGCAGCTGTAAGGAGCTCACAACAGAGATGACAAAGCTTTTCCTTTCCCCAGCTGCTGTAGCCAACACAGAGATCCCTAAACTAGAAGCATACCAAGCAGAATATAATTAACATTTACTTCCATTGAATCCAGACCTACCTACACTAAATACCACAGCTGACAACGATGTTTAAGTATTTTTGTAACATTATCAAAGTGTTGATAACACAACCAGCAACAATGTTCAAGAAGTACTTCATAAGGCATCTAAGCCTACACATCACAACCATAAGTGTCCACAAAAAGACAAGCGTAGGCTTCTGGCGTAGTTGCACAAATAGAGTACAGAGAAATATGTGCAAATAATGTAATCTGCAAGATAAGAACAAAGTACACAAACCAAACAGGAAAATAGAACATATCGTAGTCACAAAAATAAAATAAACTGTGCTGGAGGCAGATGACGTTCTCCCCTGCTTTTTCCTTTGAAGAGGGTCAAGGAGCATAAAATAGCAATGACAAGTAAGGAAAATTTGGAAAGAAAGGAGCCACTCACTTTAGTTCCAGCTTCCCTCATGGAAGAGCTCTTGAATCTGACCACCTCTGCCTCGGAGATGAAGAATTATCAAGGATAGATTCAGACTAGATATAAGGAACAATTTCTTTACGATGAGGGTGGTGAAATACTGGAACAGGTTGTCCAGAGAGGTGGTGGAGGCCCCATCCCTGGAAACATTCAAGGCCAGGCTGGACGGGGCTCTGAGCAACCCGACTGAGTTGAAGACATCCCTGCTCACTGCAGGGGGGTTGGACTAGGTGACCTTTAAAGGTCCCTTCCATCCCAATCTATTCTATGATTCTGTAAGGATGGCAGTCACCAGCTTTGTGCTATCATACACACACAACTAGCCTAGGACAAGATTGTGATTATCGCTCTTCTAGGGGAACTATGTTTCTATCACAAGCCAGATAGCTGCATTTCTGTAACAGCCCACTTCTCCTCTTGTCTGTGATTCACAGAACAGAAATCAATCTAGATATGTGCATCCTCTGGATGGTATCCACTTCTGCTGCAGCAAGAAGCGATGGAAGCTAGAAGCAAGATCATTTTGTACTCTTTCAAAACTAGAAAGATGGAAGCTTAAACCTGAGACTGTTACAGCCACAGAGCTGAAGAAGATACTTTTGATGTATGTCCTGGAAATATTGAATTCACCCAGGATTCAGCGTTGAAAACACTATGAATTCCAGATAGCCAAGTTTAACATTAGAATATCAAAGGCTTTATAAAGCAACTACACAAAATGGATTCATGCTTCCCTTAGAGGGAAGATTAATGGCAATTGTCTCATAGTAGAAATCTCCTCCTAAGCAAATGAAGGATACCTAAATCTACTCCACTTGGTTTTAACAGATAGATTCAGAGCAGTTCCATATACATTTTTTCTCTGACAACCAAACTCATAAAGATATTTCCACTCACAGTCCGCCTTCTTTACCTAGTTATTCCTGCCCAGCATGACAACTCATCATCCTATAGTTGTAATAATAAAACTGCTTTGGGGACTTTTCTGTGATACAGAACACTGAAATTATTTAGATTAAAAAATATACCTCTAGAGGTGTTGGACTGGATGATGGACTTTTACCCCCAAAGAAATGCACACAAAAATGTCCACACTGTGCATCACATCTGCGTAAAAAGGGTCCATCTATTTTTATTTTACTATGGTATAGCACATACAATAATTGCCAGATGCAATGCCCTGGCTTGGAATATCACTAGAATCACGCATCTTTTCAGTGTTACAGTGAGATTTCAGGTATACTGCAATTTCAGAATTATCTTAGCTGAGGAAAGAAATGCTCCTTTGAATGTTGACCACATATAGGTTTAAATACAAGCATTCTAGCAATAGAGACGTGGAGGTCAGCTCTGGCATCCTCACTGTGAAGACCCTTCACAGCATCTCAGCCCATGGAGGGTGATTACGTGTACTGGTAGCAACTCCACTCAGCCAAGAGGATCAGACGTTCAGGGCTCTTCCTCCTTCTGCCTGCAAAACATGCAGAAGATACACGTGGCTGCAGCAGCAGGCCATTCGCCGGCACTTGCGGAGGTGCGTCTTACAGCAGGCTGAAGACCCAGTCTCAATTTCCTCTACAGAAGAGGCAGCAAGACAGATGGGAAAATGCTGCAGATGGTATGCATCCAGTAAGCATGCTACCAGGTGAAGGTACTGACCAGCACCAGTGAGCAATTTCAGAGCTCTTGCTTGGACTTGGCACTAAGTGAATGAAGTAAGACAAAATACTTAGCAGTGAAGAGTCTCTTATATAGAAATTCACAGGTTCCCTGGCTTCTCCAGGAAATCTTGAATAACGTAGTGTATTGAGTAGTACTTGCAGAGCCAACCTAAAAATATTAATGCCTGAGAAATTCCACTGGAAATGTATTTAAATAAAGAGTTTACAAGTACATTTTCCCTTTACTCTGGTAGGATGTGAATTAAATCTGGCATGATTTTCAACTCTTCCTCTTTCTCTCTTTGCCATTTAAAGGGAGAAAGAAACATCAGGCACATGATGATCCTACCTCCCCAGAGCTGGGAGATCTGGGGAAACCACCTTCCAATAAGATCGAAGTGGGCAAGACAACAACCATTTTCTTTCACAGTGAAGTTTGTCCATTTTGTGGTTTTAGCAGTATCACGTGATGCCCATGAATGAACTTTGTCCCTGTGGACCCCTTCAAATTTACAATTTGATCCATTTTCCTGGTCAATACACACACACAGAAAACCCCTTCTACTACCTGGTGAGGATGACCCAAGGATCGGATCAGAGATTGCCACTATTTCTTACTGTTTCATTTGTTGAGACTGTGCTCACCATGACAGTACAAATACCATTACACTGCATGAAGTAAGTATCTATAAAACATCTAGAGAAGAAACAGGTTTGAACAACTTCTGCAATTACGAACCTGAAAAATGCTGTTTACATTTGGTTCTGCACTTATTAGACCCAGGCTGGAAAAGAAGTCATAAATTTCCTGTGCTTATACAACTTGTAAAGTGTCAGACAAGAACCCCACAGGGATCTTCCTGGTAGAGCAGGTTCAGTTCCCAGTAAGGCTGACTTAGCCTCTCATTTGTCTGGAATAAACCAGTCAGTTTATTCAACACAATGGGGGCAAGGACTAGAAGCCACTTCTGGAGGCCCTGAACAAAGTTGAACAGATCTTGTTTTTCAGTTTGCTGCATCATTTGGCAGCAGAGAGTTCATGAGCAGACTGTCTTCTATTTATTTATGTACTAGAGCAATGGGAATACAGAACTATCAGCTCACAAGAAACAATATTGGAGAGGCCAGAGAAAACAAGTCAAAAAGCAACATTTGAAGGATTTCCTGACAAACTCCAGAAGAACACTGTTTTTTGTAACTTCTCTGGCTTCTAAGGTGGATGCACTTCCCACATCCTCTTATCGAAGAGCCAAAGGGTTAGATTTGTTGTTAGATGTCTCTGAGGATGAACAGAGCTGATGTTCTGGGAACTTTATCTCTCCTCTGAATGACTGGAACTCCTGGCACTCTCCAGAGAAGATGGTTCATGCCAGAAAGATTTGTGGTCCTCTGGCATTTTACACTTCTTTGTGAATGAGAATTGAGGAATGCTCAGGGAGAAATAAGATGATGCTTGTGGGTCGGACACATGCAGATCCACCTCCAGGTACTTAACCAGCCCTCAATCAAGATGAGGAACTAAAAGCCAGTGGCAGCTTGTATATTAATAAAAAGTGAAGGACTTGGAAAGTATTCAGACAGCCCGTGTATTCCCTAGCAGACAGGTTAAAAGGTGTGCTGAAGGGATTTTCCTGTCCTGACCCATCTCTGCTGGTAGAAGGAGCTAAGACTTTCAGTGTTTCTCCAATTACTTGTCATTGCCTCTGTCTCAGAGGCATCCCTCCCTCTGCCAGCAGAGCTACTTTTGTAAGCATTGATCCACTGCAGTTATCAATGAGCTGAACTGGTATGAACAGCGTAGCCGATTAATATTCTAGTTCTTGAGAGGTGGCATCTTCCAGCGTGAGAGATACCAAGCAGCTGTGGAGGGCAACTGGGAATAGTCTGGCAGGCAGAGTCACTGTCTCTTATCAGGTGTCCAGTAACAGAAGCTACATCTTTGTCAGGAAAGGTGGAATAAAAGGGAATTAAAAGCTGTCACAAATTCCTTAGCCTTACAGTGACCAGAGGCACACCACACAACTAGATGATCTCGGAGCACATAAGAGGACATGTCTTGTGGCAGAGAGAGAATGTAAAATGTGGGATGATCTCTGGAATTAAAAAGGGAGATGTAGGACTGAAAGATCTGGAGGAAATGAGACAGCCTGCATTTTCTGTAAGGAGGCATTATGAGACTTGAAGAATGTGTTTATGAACAAGTGTTAGTGAAGGAGTCAGAAGATACCAAACAACTTCAGGCAAAGAGGGGAAAGGACGGGAAATAGTGTGGGAGGATAGGAAGATGGGTTCCATATTGACTGGAGGTGGTCAAAGACTAGGCAGGGAGTGGATGCAGAAAAAAACAGAGAAAGATCTTCCTCAGCAGGAGGAGAAGCAACCTCTGAATGTAGCAGCAGCAGCAGCTGAAAGATGCAGGGACATTAGCAACTCCTAATGGACGCAAGAATAAGCTGAAGGGACTGTCAAAATTCATAGCCAAATCCTCATTAAATTCTCTTATTAAAACAAAGAAAGAATTTGCCCAATTTCTCTCTATCTAAAAGACATAGTGTGCATAGTCTGGATACCACCAGATCACAGCAAAAGGAGCTGACTGCATTGCATTACTTCTTATAACTGTCCAGCTCTGGAGCCCTCAGCACAAGAAGGACATGGAGCTGTTGGAGAAGGTCCAGAGGAGGGCCACAAAAATGATCCAAGGGCTGGAGCACCTCTCCTATGACAAAAGGCTGGGAGAGTTGGGGTTGTTCAGCCTGGAGAAGTGAAGGCTGCGGGGAGACCTCATTGCGGCCTTTCAGTACTTAAAGAGGGTTTATAAGAAAGATAAATCTTCTCAGCAAGGCCTGTTGTGTCAGGAAAAGGAGCATTGTTTTTAAACTAAGGGAGGGTAGACTTAGACTAGATATAAGGAAGAAATTTTTTACTATGAGGGTGGTGAAACACTGGCACAGGTTGCCCAGAGAGGCAGTGGATGGCCCGACCCTGGAAACATTCAAGGCCAGGCTGGATGGGGCTCTGAGCAACCTGGTCGCGTTGAAGATGTCCCTGCTCACTGCAGGGCGGTTGGTCTAGATGACCGCTAAAGGTCCCTTCCAACCCAAAGCATTCTACGATTCTACTTAGGTCATGAAACTCATTTCTAAAGAGCTGATCAGCTTCTCTTCGAAGCATTTATTTCCTGTTTAAAAAAGGTAATTGAAAAGACACTTGGGACAGACACTTTTTTCACAATACAGCACTTTCCTTCACACACATATGTGAACACAGACGTGTGTGCACAGCATGCATCCTAAACTGGAAAATACACTTTTTTCCCTGCAAAATGTCAAGCTTTGTCAATGACATCTGTTCCTGGCAGTGTAAAGAGAGTATTTTTGTTTTCCATGGAGACAAAACCAAACAGCTCTCACCAACCTTGACTGTGAAAGGAACTCCTCCTTTTCTTGTCACTCCTCTGGCAATTTTTTATTCTTATGTGGATTGCAATTGTTATCAAAGCAAATTGCTAGGCTAAATTATAATGATATTGCCAACAGTGAACTAGGACTTTAAGTATTTGATTATGACAGAAAAATAGACTTAATTTCTAGTTCCCATTGAAAATATCCATGTAGTGAGCCAAATCATTAATTCATCAGGTTTTTGAAGACAGAAACTATTGCCATAAGACTGAACAGGTACTAACGCAGAGGATTGCTGATGCAATTGCTGACAACATCTTTGCTTCCTCCCTTAATCCGTCACCTGTGCTGCTAAACACTATTTGTATAGCCCATTAAATGCCCCCGAGACTGACTTATTTGAGTAGTAAGTGGCATGACACCTATTCATCTCTTACTTCCTAACACAGACACCTGCTATAAATAATGATAATGTAACCCATACTGAATTCCCTGGAAAAAAAAAATCAGAATACAGAGCAGGAACTTGTGTGAAAAGCACATTAACAGGATAGTAGGTAGCAGACACAATTTGTGCTGTGGGAAACACTAAGGAACAACCACATGTTTTACGAAAAACACATTTTTTTCATTAAAAATAAACAAACAAATAAAACACAAAAAGAAATAGAGTACACATTTTTATTACACATTTACAAGCAAACCCTGCAGCATTTTTATTATACTCAGAGGCAAGCTGTCATTGTTTTAGCATAAATATTACTCAGCTGCGCAAGGAGTGAGTGAAGAAAACTAAAGCAAAGCACCACCATTTCTGGATGTAGCATTGCTTACACCAACAGTGCTGAATAGCAGAAGCAGGCATCTTGACAAGAGCAGCAACAAGGGGAAGGGAACAGACATCCACACAAAACAGGCAGCAGCAAAGGGGGGTCACAGTCAAGAGTTTTCATGAACATTTACTGAAGACCTATGGATAAAAAAAACAAAACAAGAGTTGTCTACAACAGAAATTAGATTTAATTAA